CAGGCCTCAGTCAGGGGCTACCGGGCAGAAAATGAATAGAGAAGGAGTAGCGGAGGTGCCTGTCCAGCCGTGGTGACAACTACCGCCCATACGGGGCTCTCTCGGACTCACCATGTCACTTGTGCCTGCTGCAGGGGACCCCAAGGTGCCGGTGCTGTACCAGGTGGAGCGGACGCGGACGGGGACGAGCTTCTCGGTGCGCTCCGTGAAGGCCGTGCAGCATGGCAGGCCCATTTTCATCTGCCAGGCCTCCTTCCAGCAGGCCCAGCCCAGCCCCGTGCGGCACCAGTTCTCCATGCCCAGCGTGCCCCCGCCCGAAGAGCTGCTGGACCACGAGGCCCTCATCGACCAGTATTTAAGGTGAGAGAGCTGGAGGCTCCGGGACACCTGCAGTTGTCACCTGGGAGTGGGTCATGGAATCCTTTAGTGGGTCTTACTGGCATTTTAAAAAATACAGGTATTGGAGTGTATCATGCGTAGTCAGGGTCAGCCCCCTTTCCTGAAACTTGAGCTTCAGTTGTGTGCGTCTGTGGCGTGCTTGTGTCTGTGCGCACAGGTGAGCATGTTGGGTCATGATGTAAGTGCAGAGCTTCTGATTCGGGCGGGTCAGGTACTGTTACAGCTTTCCTGGTTGTTAAAATTCAGACACACTTCTGTGATCACTTGGTACATACCTCTCCAAACCCTGAATGGTCCCTCTGCTCCTCTGGGGGTCACTCATGATCTGGCAGTCTAGCAGGTAATGCCTGGCGTGTGATGGTCCCTGCTGCCTTTGCCTTAGTGTGTGTTCAATATTTGAATATCACCTGAATATCACAGTCAGACACTGAAATACCTTTCTCTCTTGGATCACAGCCAATAAAGTTGGGAACATTGTGGGGCAGGGGAGAGAGCTCTGGGTCCTGACACAGGACGGACACATGAACTCTGGCCGGGTCTGTGCCTCTGTTAGTGTTCCCCTGCTGTGTGACTTTGCCTGGCTCTCCAGCCTGCCTCTCAGAGTCCTGCTTTACCTAAAAATCGGGAATGGTCATGTCTGTTCTGCCTACTTCACAGCTGCATCCCGAGGAGACCTCCCCTGGCCCGTGCTGCCTGCTGGGAAGGCAGCAGAGCACCGATGGGATAGAATGGGTGTGATCTTTTGGTAAAGGCCCAGGTTCAAATGCAGACCCTTGTTTCTGCTAGCTATGTGAGTTTGGGCAAGTTTGCTTTCCCACTCTGAGCCTCTGCTCACAGGTACCAAGGTGCTAATCATGCTTCCTACCTCACAAAGCTGCTATGAGGATTAAGTGAGGTAAGAGATAAGTAACTCCGTGAAAACTCAGTGGATTGTAGTTTTAGCGCTGCCCACAGAGAGGAGTGCGCACAGGGCCTGGTCTGCTGTCAGCGCTCCCAGATGTTCACTGAAATGAAAGGAGGACATTGTTCTTAGAGGTCCCCGATTCTAGAGCTATGCTGTCCAGCTAGGAAGTCACTACCACGTGGGGCTGTATTAACGTAACATTAAATAGAATGAACGATTCTGTTGTCGCACTAGCCACACCCCAAGCACTCAGTAGCCTCATGTGGCTACCGACTTCCTAGTGGGAAGTATAGGTACAGAATGTCCCACCATCACATAAGGTCTGTGGGACTGTGCCCTAGAAGTGGGGGGCTGAAAATGGAAACCCCGGTGAAGAGCGCTCAGGGCGGAGGGACTTCCCTGGAGATGGGCGCCCACCCTCCCCCACACACTGGGAACGCGGTCTTCCCAATTGCTTAGGGTTCGGTTGGTCGGTCTGAGTTGCTCAGCCTGCTTCCTGAAAGTGGAGAATAGCCAAGTGGGTCAAAGCCTGAAACATGGAGCCAGACTGCCTGGGTCCACATGCTGCCTTCTCCATTGCCTGAGCAAGCTCCTGGAACTCCCGGTGCTTATTTCAGGTCAGTTCTCCCATGGGGGTGATGACAGCACTGTGTCTCAGGGTTGTCGTGATGAGGTCATGTGTGCTTAGAAGCATGCCTGTGGTGGGGTCCGCCTTGCCACTCTGAAGTGTTAGAGGAGGTAGGTGGCCGTCACCAGCTCCATTTTGCAGATGGGAAGAGAAGCTGGCACAGGCCACAGGGCGCCTAAGTGGCAGAGAAAGGAGTCAGACACTGTGCTCTCCTGCCTGACGGGAGGGGAGCTGTGGGGAAAAATCAGGAGTCCCTGTGGAGGAATGAGGGGGTCACAGAGGCAGCTCAGAGAGGCTTTCCGTTTCCCCTTTACTTTCAGGGATCCCAGGCTCCAAGAGAAGTACCGAGTGGGACTGAACCGAATTGCTGCTAAGGAGGTCCCCATTGAGATCAGGCCGGTAAAGCCACCTGCCCTGAATCAGCTGCAGAACATGGAGCCCAAACAGATGTTCTGGGTGCGAGCCCGGGGCCATATTGGTAAGAGGACCCCGAGGACTGGGGCTAGGCTTGCTCTTTGTGGCACAGGGCGTGTTACTTCCCCTCTCTGGGCCTGTTTCCTTGTCGGTGTGATGGGGAAGTAGCTTCTCACCAGGACCCTCTCTGCTGCCTGCATGGGGATAAAGAGGATGGTGACTACAATAATCCTCATGGAGACCCTTTCTGGGGAAGACCAGGACCCCTCTAGGACCCCTGCTAACCATATGGCCTCTGTGCAGGCTGGAAGAAGACACTCCCTTGGAGGGCTCATTGTGGGAGACTTAGGGAGTGAAGACTGGATTTCAGTCCTCACTTAGCGCTGCCCTCTGCCCATACCTACCTCCTTTGTCAGATGGCACATGTGCATGCGCGCGCACACACACACACACACCCCTCAGGCCAGGCACCCTGATGCAGCAAACACTCTACACATCTGTGCACGGCAGCCCCTCTCTGCCTGCCTCCCCGCAGGTCCTGAGCTGTAAAGCGCAGGATCCTGGCCCTGACGGGCCCGCACGCGTTGCAGGGGAGGGCGACATGAAGATGCACTGCTGTGTGGCCGCCTACATCTCGGACTATGCCTTCCTGGGCACGGCCATGCTGCCCCACCAGTGGCGGTACAAGGTGCGCTTCATGGTCTCCTTGGACCACTCCATGTGGTTCCACACTCCCTTCCAAGCGGACCACTGGATGCTCTATGAGTGTGAGAGCCCCTGGGCTGGTGAGTACGGGGCTACGGGGGACAAGGGGGCTAACGGGAGGGGGGCGCGGGGAGGGAGGGGTGAGGCAGGAAGCCTGCTTTCTCAGGCGATCCAGTGGGGCACTACCCCTCGCTTCCTCTACTGGCCCCCTAGTCTCTGGCATTGTTGTCTTCAAAATGACAGCATGCGGCTCGAGAGGGGACACCTGCTAAGCTTAATTTCTGTAGCCTGCAGGGAGTATCAGAGACCCAGTAGCACTGCAGATTCTCTGTGTGATCCTGGACCAGTCCCAGCTCCTCTCTGAGCCTCAGTTTCCCCATCTAAACAAATAGGGTCACATAGAGCAGTGGTATCTGAATGTGGTGGCAGGTCAGCCAGCCAGTTGGGGGAGCCTTTCCAAAACAGATACTCAGGTTCCACCCCCAGATTCTGACTTAGCAGGTCTTGGATGAAATCCAGGAAACTAATTTTTAAGCAGCTCCCTTGAGCAATAGTGCGGATTAACCAACCTGACTGGGGGTCAGGGCCCTCCATAGTCTCTAAGGGCTCCGCTACTTAGGATACTCATGGTGTGCAGAGAAGCCCAGACTTCATCAGTGTCTAGTCTCAGAGCCCTGGGTTCCTTTCCAGGCAAATATACTTCAGATGAAGAAAAGCCTTGCTCTGTAACACAGGGACAGAACTGAAGGGAATCTCTCTTCAGGGGAGGGGGAGTGTCCAGCACCGAGAATGTTGCAACACAAGATCAGCAACCTTGTGGTTAGAACACCTGGCTTCGGGTTGGCCTGCTTATGGCCGAGGGCCAGAGGCTCCCTGGACTTTCGTGTCTTCATTTGGAAAATGGGCCTGCTTCGCTTGGCCATTATGAGAACTAAGTGAGCTCTACTCTGTGTAAGGGAGACCAGCAGCTCCCTCTGGAACCTTCCACTCAGGCCCACTGCTAGCAAAGGAGTGTTCAGGCTGGGAGGGTGGCCAGATGTGATGGCCCCAAGTCCTCCCCACACGCCCTTTTTCCTGATAGGGGTGAGGATGGGTTTTTATTTGTTTTGTGAATTACCACCCTGGAGCATCCAGTTTGATTCATTAGAAAGGGAACTGCTGGGTTTCCTACCCTAAGTAGCCAGAGTGGGGACAGATCTACTTAGCCAAGCTGCTGACCTGAGACTGCCCTCAGAATTCTTCCTCCTGTGAGCTTTTTGAGGAAGCCACTGGATAGTGAAAGTGCTTTCAAACTGTCAAGTGGGGTTCCCTTAGGAGTTACCCCCAGGGACCATTCCCAATAGGCTCATAAAGGGGCACTTAGAGACTGGGAGAGGCCACAACACTCGATGTGCCCTTGGACGGGGCAGCCAGAGCAGCTGCACACTTTCCAAGAAGCATTGTCTGGCTGGGCTCTGAAGGAGAGAGAAGGCCATTCTCACCCTTCCCCTCACCCACAGGTGGCTCCCGGGGGCTGGTCCAAGGGCGGCTATGGCGTCGGGATGGTGTCCTTGCTGTGTCCTGTGCCCAGGAGGGTGTGATCCGAGTGAAGCCCTGGGACTCAGAGAGCAAGCTGTAGCCAGAGGGACCAGCTTGGCCTGGGGCTTCAAGGGTCACCCTTCTCTTCCCAACACCTTACAGTCAAGGGCTGGACCTTCTATCCCCAAACCCAATAAAGAGACTCATACCACTGGAGCTGCTGGCCTTTAATTCCCCTGGGCCAGACAGCAGCCGTACTCCAGGACTCCCGAGGAAGAGTCCCTAGCCCTCGGGCCAAGGAAGAGGTAACATTGACCTACCCTGGGGCATAGTCCCCAGACATTCATGAGCTGGAGAGGCTGCATCAGACTTCCTCCCTGTGCCACCCCAGGGCAACCCCGGCCGAAGCTTGTCCTAAACCCAGCTTGTTTCCTTGGTTTACTACAAATTCCTTGTAGGACTTCTAGGGGTTCCCAGCACCCCCTACAGTTTCCCAACTGCTATTCATGCCCTCCTTGCCCACCCCCCATCCCGGGGCGGTGCCTCTCCCCAGAGTGGCCTTAAGTCTAGGCAAAGTCAGTCCAGTTCCTCCTTGATAAGCAATTCTTTGAGACTGGGGGGTGGCGTGGGGGTCAGGCCTGCCTCCTGCAGGGCCTGGAGTCGGGCCTCTGTTTGGCGTTTGTCCAGGCCCAGGCGCCAGGAGAGCCGGACGTGGGCTTCCAGAAAGGGTGCCAGTAGAGAGTGGGGGTTCTTGTCCCCCAGCAGTTGCAAGGCCCTCTCACAACACGCCCGGGCCTCCCCAGGGTTCTCCAGCTCCTGGTGACACACAGCCAGCCCAGCCAGGGTCAACAGTGGGCGGTCTGGGCCCAAGGGGGTGCCTAGCTGGGTCTGTAGCTGCCAGGCATTGGCCCAGAGTGCCAGAGCCTCATGATAGAGGCCAGTGCAGGTGAGGCTCTGCGCCCGCCGCAGCTCGGGCAGCACAAAGAAGTCCTGCAGGTCCGGGGCACGGCGCAGCTCAGGCACTGCCTGCAGGTGGCTCAGAAACTGCTCGAAGGCCCGGCTCCGGCGGGCGATGGTCTCTGCGGTGAAATTCCGGCGCAGGCGCTTCCGGGGGAATGAGATGGCAGCCATGGAGCCCCGGAACTGTCGCTGCAGGTTTCGATGCAGCCGCTCAAAGTCCGAGTAGCGGCGAGAGATCTGGGCTGGCTGGCGATCGGGTGGCCCTGGACCCATCACGGCGAGGGTGTAGAGCTGCAGGGAGGGTGGGGTCAGCGCAGGTGTGAGTTGTCCGCGCGCCCCTTCCCTCCCCATACCCACACCTCAAGCTGCATTCCCCCACTTCTTCCCTTGGCCCCTGAGACTGGGCCCAGGAGGGTGGGAGCTGCTGGGGCGGCAGCCAGGGAGCCCAGTTCCATCTTACCTGAGGCTCGTCTGAAATGACCCAGGCCCAAGGCAGCACGGGGAGAGAAAGACAGAGATGAGCTTCAGTGCCTAGACCTGCCATCCCTTTTGCCCTTTCAGAGAGCATTGCCTTCACATAGGGCAGTTAGCTCTTCGGACAGCCCCTCTGGTAAACCAGCTGGGAGCTGAAGCCCAGGCCGATCTCTTGGGCCACTGAAGCTACCTTCAAGACCAGTTTGGACTTTGTTCCGCTCTGGAAACAGAGCCCCCACATCCTTAGCCAGGTTATTCCAAAGCAGACCTGGAGGACAGGTCTTCAGATAGATCAAGGAGCGATCATTGTGAAGAGGGCATCGGGGCACACCCTCCAGTCAGCTACTCCCTTGCAGTGTGTCCTCAAGCAAGGCAGTCCCCCCCCCCCCTTGGGTCTTGCTTTCCTCTTTAGTGAGCGAAGCGGTGACCTAGGTCAGTGTCCCCTCACGTGTGGGATGCGTATAAGTGAATGTTGGGCCTGAGATTCTGTTTGGTTCTGGAGTAAATAACACTGAAGTGGAGACAGGAGGTGGCCCCCCCTCCCCTTGCCGAGTACTCCTTGAATCCTGACTACAGGTTGAGAAGCTCTCAGCTTGGTTTTTTGAACCGCACTTCTCCAACACTTCTCATCTCCCCTTTCAGAAAAGACCCAGAAAGCAAATCTCAGGTCTGGGCCTTCAGGCAATAGGACTCGTGCAGGGTTTTAATGACACGGTTTCATTTTCACTGCTTTTATTGTATTTAATTCATTAATTTTTATGGTTGTCTTTAAGGCAAACAAGGCTTTCCACATACAGTAGTGCTTTGAAGTCTTTTGAACTTATTTACAAAAAAAAATAGGTTTACTTAAAAATGTTAAGCAAGGAATGGTACAGTAGCATTTAGCTAGGACGAGAATCATGAAGGTGGTCCTGGAATGAGTGATGTTTGAGAAACGCTGATCAAGATGACCATGAAGCTTTCCTGGGGCCTGAGGATCCGCATACAGATTAATCTGTAATAATGCTGACCCACCAGGTTTGAAAAGTGGGATTTGTTAAGCATGAGATGTTGAAGGCACACTAACACCAAACCCGGACTTTTCTCTCGAATTTGTTCTGTGAAATTGCCAATATTCTAGCTGCCTCTGGTCTATGTTATACTTCTCTTCAAGATTCAGTGGACATTAATACTAAGGATTAAAAGATTTTACCTTAAAGAAGTTTATTTTACTCCTGCTCAGTTCTGCATTCCCAAAAAACACTGGCTGCAAAATCTTTTTTTTTTTTTTTTTTTTAAAGGAACAGTTATCAACATTCCAGGAAACCAGTTTCCTTCAAAATACACTTCAGGAAGCATTGTCTAAAATGACCCCTTATATTCATGTAGCTTTTACTTTAAATTTTTGGCAAAAAGGAAACATTTTATATCCATTATTTCATCTGACCTTTGTAATGTCCTGCCAAGACGGGTAAGAATGACAGTAGCTCCATTAACTGAGCACCGGCCCATGCCACGATGTGCTGTGCTGGGCACTTTACTACGGAGCACAGCAAGGAGGGAGCCCCTGACTCTGACAGCTGAGGAAGCAGGCTACAAGACAGGCAAATGGCTCCAAGACTTCTCCTAAGTCACATAGCTGGTAAATGGTCCTGCTGGGATTCAAACCCAGGCCCGCCTCATTCCAGAGCCCAGGCTTTCAACCCCACCCCAGGAACAGAGGAGGGGACTTGTCTCTCCAGACATGGGCCAGAGCATATCCGGCCATACTGCTCTATTCTCTTCCTAGAATCACCCAGTACTTCCCTGCTGCCTGGCTGTTCCTGAGGGTCCCTTTCCCAGTGCATGAGGCCTAGCTGGGACTTTCGCCACTTAAGACTAGATCATCAGAGTCGATCCCTGCTCAAATTGGAGCAGTCACCCCATAGGCGTGGCCTTTGTTTACTCACAGCACAGAAAGGAATGAAGAGGCCCAGATGTGGGACAGTGCTCCAGGCCCTTTGCCTGCTGAGTCAGAAACGGAGGAGGGTGGTGAAGATGAGGGACGTCTGAGTCTGCCAGGACTGGCCAGGTCAGGCTGGGTTTCAGGACCTGGCAGACCTCATTCTCCCATGTCAGTTTCTCCTTTCCACAGGCAAAACCAGACTCCAAGGCCTTCCCCTTGCTCTTCATCTAAACACCATTTACCCCCTAAATCTAACCCTCAGAACAAGATTATTGTGTACAGTGTGGGTGCCCAGGGATTGACTGACCTGGGGTATAAGGCCCTAGACGCCAGACATTTTCAAGCCAAAGTTAAGTCATAATAATAGTTACCATTTTATCAAGTTCTTCATAATGCCAGGCACAGTGCTAAGGGCTCTCTGTGCCCTCATTTAATTTCTTCAACAATCCTCTGCATTATTCCCACTCCTCAGATGAGGGAATAGGGTCATCAAAGTTACACAACTCACCCAACTTCAAACAGCTGATAATTGGGGTCTGAATCAGAGTCTGGATTCAAAACCCATTTTTTTTTTAACTACTAACCAATGCAACTTGGGTCTCAGGTGTGACCCAGATAATAATATTCTTTCTTGTGTATCTTGTATTTTGCTACAGTTTGCAAAACCTGGGGGAAGGGGAGCCCACACGGCAGTTCTCTTAGTCTCAAAACCAAGATGGAGAGGCAGATCCATAATCCCTCAGAAAGCTAAGTCATCTGCCCAAGGTCTTGATCAAATTACATCCCCTTTCTGACCTCAGTTTCCCCATTCCTAAAATAGATTGACCATTTATCAAGTTGGGAAGTTGAGAGTCTTCCCTACTTTCTCTTAGCCAGACTTTCAGACTCACAGCCCAGGGCTTCCTGGGCCTTCACTCACCACGTACTTGGAGGGTGGGTCCTTGACCACATTGGCGCTGGTCACCTCGAAGAGCAGCCGCTGGGGCACCAGGGTGTTCCGGGACTTCTTCCAGAAATCCTGCAACTGCCTTGCCAGTGGCTGACTGCCCCGCTGCCCTTCAGGTGGAGAGCTCCCATCTGCAAGGGCACACGACCAGTCACATCAGTGGGCCTGGGGCTGAGGGCCACATAAACCACGTGTGGTGACCTTACTCATACTCCCAACAGGTGAGACAGGCTTTATTTCCATCTGACATCATGGAAACTGAGGGCCAGAGAGGGACCAGGTGCCAAACACCATGCCTGGCAGACAGTGGGCTCTAAATAAATATTTCCACCCCAAAACATCGCTAGCACATTATTACGATTTGTATCCCAGACGCTGTACATTTAATGCCCGCAGCAACCCCGAGATGGGAATGATTTCCCTCATTTGACACAAGGGAAAACTTGGCTCAGAGAGGTGTTGTGACTCTCTCAAGGTCACACAGCCAAGAAACGGCTGGGGAACAGGGCTGGGGTGGAGGCCTAACCGACCCCCAGGGTTCCCGCCTCGGTCTTCGGCAACTCGCCTGCATCTTCTCCTGACGCCCCGTCTCCGGAGGGCAGCGGGTCGGGGCCAACCTCCCCGTCGTCCTCGTCGTCCTCCTCCTCTTCGTCCTCGGCGCTGGTGAAGCTGAGGGTGCCGCTGAGGCGGGAGGACAGGCCCTCGGCGTCGTCATCCTCCAGCTCCGAGCTCTCCGGGAACTGCTCGGTCTCCGGACCGGTCGCCGCCTCCCCCGGGTTGTCGCCGGCCAGGGCGTGCCGCAGCCGGTGCAGGAGCCGCGAAGCCATGGCACCCTGGGGGGAGCCCGACACTGGGGCCTGGGCGTGGGCGGGAGGGCGACCCGGGACCCCGCGCTGGGAGGAGGGGCGGGGCCCAGCTGGCGGAGGGAGGGGCGCCGCGGAGGCCCCGCCCCAGCCCGTTGGGGGTCCTACGAGGCCCGGGCGTTGCCTGGCGTCGCACCCTCCCTCCGCCGTAGCCTAGGGCAGCGCTCTTCCCGGGATAGGCCGGGACCCCCCTCTCGTCTCTTTCGCCTGCTGGCGCGTCTCTCCCTCCCGCGCCCCGCGGTGTGCTCAGGGGCGCGCGATACCCCGGGGTCCGGGGTGCAGCTCCGGCAGCTTACCGAGGCCGGCCCGGCTTCGCCGGGCCCAGGCCGCTCACAGCGCGGCTCCGGCCGCTTCCTGCCGCCGCCCCGCCCCCGGCCCCGCCCGCTCCCCGGAGCCTCCCGGGAATCCCGGGCCCTCCGCTCCGGGAGGGACTTGGGAATCCTGGGTAGGCCTGGGCGAGCCCCAGCCTCCTGCGGGATCGTACCCAATCCGCAGGGGCTCGCACCCTCCGCGAATCCTCCCACCCGTCCCGAAGACCCAGTCTGTCCCGGCTGCCCCCACTCTATCCCACAGTCTCCATTCACACTCTAACTTTCCAAAGTCATGCCACAGTGGAAAGCCCATCTCGCTGGTGAAAAAATTGAGACCAAGGAAGACCTATTATCTGAGTTGGAATCTGACGTCAAGCCTGGAGCCTAGGTTCAAGTAATACTAGTACTAATTTTGCAGTCCTTGTAAGGACCTTGATCCAGTGCCTGGCGCCCAGCAGAGGCTGACAAATTGATCAGTTACATAGTTATCATTGTTCCTCCAGTGCTCACAGGTTCTTTGCAATCTCGCTGGAGCCTCGCACATAGGAAGTTAGCAGACGAGGAAGTGAGATCCAGAAAGGCAGGCTTACTTGCCCAAAGTCACACAGCTTGCCGTGGGACCTTGCAGCCTACCTCTCCTGAGTTCCTCATTCTGTTCTTTTCCCACACAGAAGGCCTAGCAATCTCAGCAGCTCCTCTGAAAAGGTTGGCTGTGTTTTATCTTTTACCCGGAGGGCAGCAGTGGGTCAAGAAGAATTTATTGCCACTTCCTGTCAAAAGGCCTTGCAGTCCTCCAATCGAGCAAATAAGATCTCTCTGACAATCCTTCCTACCCTTTTTGAACGGCCCAGGAGAGGCGGGGGAAGTAGCTTTGAATGGGAAACACACTCCCTGCTCTGCTGTGCACAAAGGTTCCACCATGACCTACATCCTGTTATAGGCGTTTTCTGTGGGGCCACACACAGCTCACACTCACATCTTGGGGAAGGGGGCTGTTACCGGATAATAATGGCCCATTTTCAGGATGAAGAGGCAAACTGATTTTCCCAAAATCCAGTGCTAGGAAATAGAGGAGCTGGGACCTATGCCCAAAGTCCACGCTACTCTTCATTCAGCTTAGCAGTAGGGTGTGGGGGCAAAAAAGGACACACTTCATTCCTTAATTCATTCAACACTCACTCATTCACTGAACACCAAACAATATTAACTTGTGTTTGGGCCTATGTCTCTCAAGTCTGGGTACAAAGCAGGTGCTCATAAAACCATGGGCCGTTAGAAATCTTGTCTGGTACCTGTATTTTACAGAAGGGGAAGGGACCTACCTTGGTCTTAAAAATAGGATGAGAACTAGGTTTCCTGAAGTCTTGTATTCTCCACTCTCCTTGGATTCTTTTTTTTTTTTTTTTGAAGATTTTATTTATTTATTTGACAGACGGAGATCACAGTGAAGCAGGCAGAGAGAGAGGAGGAAGCATGTTCCCTGCTGAGCAGAGAGCCTTATGTGGGGCTCGATCTCAGGACCCTGGGATCATGACCTGAGCTGAAGGCAGAGGCTTTAACCCACTGAGCCACCCAGGTGCCCCTCCTTGGATTCTGTATAGTATCTCCTGACAGCTGCCCTGAGAGATGGTCATTAAATTTCTGGTTGCATACATTCAGTAACAGGAAACTCATTCTCTCTGGAGGCTTCCCGTTCCCATGATTATTCTGACGGTTAGGAATTTCCTCCTCTTAACCAGATGCCCCTCTGTCCAGTTATTCGTATAAAGAACATGATACTTATTGAGTGTGTGCTAAGTGCTGCGTGCTGGAGAACGCAGTGATGAACAGTAACAGTCTTCGGTCCATGGAACTCAGAGCAGGCATGTCATGTGGCATGCTCAGGGCCGTGATTGAAGAAACTACTGGAGACTGCTTTGGACTCCCTTGGCCTTAGTAGGGGAGGAGGGATCCCAAAGGAAGTGATGTTATTTTTTATTTGTATTTTTTTTTTCAAGTAATCTCTACACCGAATGTGGGGCTCAAACTTAGGACCTGGAGATCAAGAGTCATATGGGCCACTGACTGAGCCAGCCAGGCGCCCCTTTACATGTATATTTATATATATAAATTATATATTTTATATATACATTATATGTTATATATTTATGTATAAATTATAGATATTTTATTTTATATATTTAACTATATTGAAATATATACATATATGTATATATACACATATGCGAATTAAATATTTATATAAATATAGATATATATTTAAATACACATTCATATAAATATAAGTAAATAAGTTAAAAAATATATACATATATACCCATGACACCAAGATCAAGTGTTGCATGCTGAGGCACCCAGGAGGCTCAGTGGCTAAGTGTCTGGTTTTGGCTCAGACCATGATCCCAGGGTCCTGGGATCGAGCCCCACATTGGGCTCCCTGCTCAGTGGGAAGCCTGCTTCTCCCTCTCCCACTCCCCTTGCTGTGTTCCCTCTCTTGCTCTGTCTCTCTCTGTTAAATAAATAAAATCTTAAAAAAAAAAAAAAAGAGTTGCATGCTGTACTGTCTGAATGACCCATGTGTCACAAGGAAGTGATGTTACAGCTGAGAAAGTTGACAGGGAAGTGGGCAGGTGAAGAGAGAGACGATGGGAGTTCTGGCAGAAATAAGCAGCACTTGCAAAGACCTGGAGGCTACACAGGGCATTGTTTGGAGCTGCGTTTTAGCCTGACCAGAGCACAGCAGCATGCAGGATGGGGAGGGAAGGGGATGGAGATTGGAGGAGTTAGAGTGAATAGGTAAATTTGCACCTTATCTATTTTCCTGAATAAATGAAAGAACAAATTAATGAACAAATGATTGCTGAGGGTTCCAAACTCCCTGCTTCAAAGGAATCATTAGTGGCTCCAGGGCTCACATCCAAATTGGACTCCCTGGTGTCACTGCCCCCTTGGTCCTCTGCCCGGCCGGGGGAGGCCTTATGTAGTCTGGCCTAGCTCCACTGAGCTTTTCTTGGGAATGCCTATAAATAGAGGAAGATGGCGGCCCAGCTGCCTCCGTCTGTCTGCCTTCCTTGGAATTCAGCCTCCTCTCACTGGCCCCAGGCTGTGCACTCAGCTGTCTTTGTGCTCTTTCTGTTGGCTTAGCCACTGTCCACAGCATCGCCTACCTCTCCAACACTCAGTCTGGACCCTGTGGGTTTGGAGGATGGGCTCCCTTCAGCCTGGACTTGCTCTGCCCATCCCTTCACTCTCCAGATGGACAGCTGAGGGGCTTGGGACTTCTTCACTGAGCTCTAAGAAGGGGCCGGCTGCCCCTTTACTCAGCTGGAGAGCTTGCTCCTACCTAGTCTTCCTTGCCCTCAAAAAAAAAAAAAAAAAAAAAAAAGGAATCTCAAACACCTTTTCCCTGGAAAAGGTAAACTTGAGAGAAAGATCTGCTTTCAACATTTATTTCTCCTCTGACTGCATAACCATCTCCTGGACCCCTCCCTAGATTTCTTGTTTGGACAGTTCCCCTCAAGGGCTGTCCCAACTTCCCTTCAGGACTTTTTTCTTTTTTTTAGATTTTATTTCTTTATTTGACAGAGAGAGAGAGAGAGAGAGAGCACAAGTAGGCAGAGCAGGAGGCAGAGATAGAGGGAGAAGCAGGCTCTTGGCTGAGCAGGGAGCCTGACGTGGGACTCGATCCCAGGACCGTGGGATCATGACCTGATCCGAAGGCAGACGCTTAACCAACTGAACCACCCAGGTGCCCCTCCCTTCAGGATTAAGAAGAATCACTGATATAACTAGAGACCTTTATGATTTACAAAGCTCCCTAGTAAAAAGGGAATAATAATAGCTTTTCCCTCATGGGATAGGGGTGATATAGGTGAGATCACATGGTTAAAATGCTTAGCATAGTGTGTGGCTCGTCCTAGAGGTTCAATGACCGCGGCTGTCACCTTCTCCTCCTCCCCTCCCCAGCCCTCTACCACGGTTCAGACAGGCCGGCTGTTCCACTTGCCAAGCACCAACCCTATGGAGCCGGCACAAGCTAGGTGACTTAGAGCTGGGCTTCATTTCCCATGGTCTGTCTGTGAGGGAGGTCACGACTGCCCCCATCTCCACCTCCCAGAGAAGGAAACTGAAGCTCAGAGTGGCAGGTCGCCTGCCTGAGTGCACAGCTAGCAGCGACAGGACCGGGATCTTGGGTTTCAGACTTCACAGGCTTGTCCTCTTCCCTGTCTGCTGTGCTGCTTCACTTTTCTCCATTCTGATTGTCCTTTACCCATCTTGGAGCCACCGTGTTTCTTGAGAAGGGGCTCCCTAAGGCAGTGGAGCAGGGCGGGTTCTCCTCCCAAGAATCTAGGACATCAAGGCCTGCCACCTGCTCAGAGGCTTAAATTTCTCTGCAAGGGCCCTTGGCTAAATTAGGTAATGGGCTAGGACTCTGGGATGCGGTGCGGGGAGGAGGCGCTCGCTGACCCCAGGATCTGATTGGCCAGGGCAACTAGTCCTGGGGAGCAGGGAGGTGGGAGGAGAGGGTGCCCCTACAAATTCGAGGGGCTGGAGCAGGCCAGGGCATCTTCGGGTGGTGGAGTGCTGAGGAGGTGACCTGCAGCAGAGGAGGAGGCCCTGGGACTAGCAACCATGGTAAGGACAAGAAGGGACTTCATCCCTTTGCTTGCTGAAACACTTCTGGACCTCTTCCAGGCCAGATCTGGGTGTTCTGTAGTTCAGTAATTGGACATTTGAAGATGGAACATTGAAGGCTCCTGGAGCCCAGATGTCTAGGAGGAAGTCTGGGAAGAAGGCCTTGGACTTCTCCAGGGGTGGGGGGGATTGGGGTGTTCCAGTGATTGTTGACTCCCTGCAGACCTGAGGCTCCGGCTGTGTTGGTCATGGAGCCATGAGGGGCTACTTGCTTGTCTCCCTCATGGTGGGGGGGGTACCCTGAGGGCCAGAGTGAGTCACCAGCAAGCCAGCAGCAGGGGTGGGCTAGAAGCCTTGCCAAACTCTCCTGAAGACTCCTCTGGAAGAAGGGTGGGGGGGCGCTGTAGGG